TTACAGTAAAGTTACACTGCTTTCTTCGTTTTGTGTTTTGAATCCTTTTTCATGCACCACAAACCTACTGGTGTCTTGTCATTTCTGTAATGACACGATTTCTTACAGTCGGGCACTGTACTTCCATTAGTAGTATACCGTGGCGTAGATTTAGTAAGCTTGCTTTGTTATTTTGTTGATATTTCGCAGTGAAATCGAAACGTCATGTTCACACACGAATCGAAATGATTGTTCTCGCAACCTACACAATGTCTATCCATGATGGAACTGATTTGAATTTCAAAAGGCTTCTCCTAGGCCCAGCTCCTATTGTCACGTGATGATCTATTCCATATCTGATTGGTTCTATTGAGTGTTATGTTCACGTCACGTTCACGCACGAATCTAATTGGCTCATTTGATTTCCCTCGCATACGTCATCCGCTACAAATCCGTCCGATTTCCCGGCGCTCTTAACGACTTTTTGTTATTATGTCGCTGCGCTGAAGACGGAAGGTTATTGCGGCTCTGGGAAATCGTAGATTTTATACTCTTTATAACTCCGTTGTTATCAATTTGCGCAGAAAATGGTATGGAAGAAAACTATCATAGAATGGTGTGTTCTACCACATGGTAAGCTCAGATTCTTTAAATTAGGTGTGGGGTTGCATTTCAATAATACCCAAATTATTATTACTATTATTTTGGTATTATTGGAAAAAGGCGTCTCCATTGAATCGATGGAAGCTTACCTTACAGCCTTGAAGATATTTAATTAATGATCACTTTTCATTAAATAAACTTGTCTCGCAAATGAATAATAAAGAAGTTATTTAATTATCAAGATAAATAAAAATAATATTAATAAAAGGAGGTGAGATTCACACAATTGCTGAGGGGAAACTAACCAAATTCTCCACTGCGCATGCGCGGTGTCTTTTGTATCCGTTCTGTCCCCGTTATCTAACCTGTGACGTCACGGTCAGTGTCACGATTCCATTGGCCAATTGTTTGGCGGTTAATTTAATAGCCAATGGGCAAACAAGGCACGAGGAAACAGCCAATGGATGAACATTAACTAAAGTAGAAGCTATGAAATTCAATTTTTTAATTAGTCTCGCCATGGCTACCAAGGTATAGGATTTTATTTTAAAGACGATGAGGCTAGTTTGAAACTATTACGTGGACACGGAGTGCTACCCTCTTGAAGTGCTTTGCGACCAGCCGTCCCGACGTCACTCCCGCTCCCGCAGCCCACTCCATTGGTATGACGACCCTCACCCCGGCCCCTTCTCTGCATAGTTATGTTGTAACGTTTATCTTCACATAAGTGACTATATGTACGGTACTTTGTGCGTACGAACGGCATGTGGGACCGACTGTCCGACGCTCTCTCCTGCCGTGAATACGTGGAGGATTATTTTTTATTTTGGGCGGGGGTTGGGGGCGGAAGCTCTCCATGGGGGTTTGCAGGGGATAATATAGTGGCATAATCGGTACCGTGATTATAGCAAAGATCGAGAATTCCACACTGCACACGCATATCAAGAGTGGCGCGATTCTGGTATCGAAAAGTCACTCTAGCCATTTCCGATGGAAACGAACACCAGAATCAGCCGAACCAAAACAATAGAAATCGAACGAATTTAGTTTCGTCCCGTGAAGCGTTGGTGATGTTTTTCTCCAAATTTACCATTATTTTAATTAACATCATGATATTGTTAGTTTTTGTTATCACTGTTATTTTCATAGTGATAACATTATATCAGTTTTATTAGTAGTATTACTGTTATTATTCCTCTTATTTTTGGCAATGATTATTAATGTCATTATTATCATTATTATTGTCATAACCATTATCATCATTCCTTCTATTATTATTGTTCTTATCATTATTATTATCAATATTATGATTATCATGATTATCGCGATCATCATTATCATTATCATTATTATTGTCATTATTATTATAATTGTTATTATTATGATTACTATTAATATGATCATTGCTATTATTACCATTATCATTGTTATTAACATTATTGTTGTTGTTATTTTTTTATTTTTATCATTATTAATATTACTATCCTTTTTATTATCGTTATTATCATTATTCTATCGTTATCACTATTTTCATGATCATTATTGCTGTTCTAGTTATACATATTTTTGTCGTTATTTTTGTTGTTATAATTGTTATTGTTATTACCATTACTATTACTATCATTACTATCAGCATTATCATTCTTTTTATCATGATCATTATCATTCTTATTCTTATTATCATTATCATTTCTTATTATTATTATTCATTATCATTCTTATTCCATTATTATTACTATTATTATCATTATCATTACTTTTATCAATATTATCATTGTCATTATCCTTGTCATTATCATTATTATCATCATTATTATTCTTACTATCACATAGTCGTTCTTATGATGATCATGAGTATTATTACTACATTTTTTATCATTTCTATTGTTGTTATTTCTGTCGTTATTATTACTATTAT